CCTGTGCTGGGACTTCTTCTAGGCACAGGAACACTGATGGGGGCCCAGGGAAGTCTCCCCCTGTGCGGTGCATGCTTCCTGGGGGGCAGGGGGCAGGAAAGGACAAGACCCTTTGGAGATGACGGGGAGGCTCTGAGGACAGTGAGATAGTAATGGGGCCTGGGTGACGGGGACAGGAGAAGTAAGGTTTTCTGAGGAGGACTCCAAGAAGATAAAGGGGAAAGCAGCCAGGCCCAGAGCTGAGGATAGGAAGATCATTGCAGGCAGAGAGGATGGCATGTGCCAAGTCCCTGAGGCAGAAACAGATTAAGTCCCTGCAGGGAACAAAAAAAGATCAATGTGGCAGAATCAGAGGGAGAGGTAGAGGCCAAGATGAGGTCTACACAGGACCAGTGCTGACCCCTAGGGTGGGTCCTAAGGACAGAGAGGGAACTGAGGGGACTCTTCAAGGCTCACTGGGTATCTATTAGCTCTTAGATATTCCGTTATGCTATCCCCACTCTCTTTCCTTTGCACTTTAAGCCCCTGCTACGGACCTGGTCACATTCACTCATTCTTCCCTGAGCTGTGCCAAATCTGCGGCTGAGTCTGTCAATGGCACTCTTTAGCTTTGTTACGATGATTTTCATCTCAAGCATTTCCACTCGATCCCTTCCTGAGGTTTTATGCCAATCACGTATGATCCTGTGTGTTGTCTTCCTTTTCCATTATGTAACAGATCAACCTGTTATTTTGAATTTATTTTCTGTTCCTAAATGATCTCTCTATCTTCAGCTCTGGGCCTGGCTGCTTCCCCCTTTATCTTCTTGGAATCCTCCTCAGAAAACCTTACTGCTCCTGTCCCCGTCACCCAGGCCCCAAACCTGTTCCAAAACCTGTGTCATATCTAAGTTTGATTCTTAGGAGGTTCTCTCTCCACACACTATATTTTTAAATTTCCTTTAGATGCCTCATTTTTGTTGTTGTTGTTCTTGGAAGTCAGATATTTTCATAAGAATTTAGATAGTAACTATATTTGACTTTGTAGGTTACATGGTCTGTTGTTGGTCTTGTTTTCTTTCTTTACTTCCTTCTCCATCTTTATTCCTTAAAAATCATGGACCCACAAGACTGCTGATGGGTGCCAGACTAAATGTCAGCCTCAGGAAATCAGGGCGGCTCCATGGAAGGGAGGGCTTTGAGTTTTGAGGAATGGGTGGAAGAAACAGCAGATGC